CCTAAAAGCCGGTTATTCCTCTGGTAACTCCACTCCCCAGCTAGTTCTGGGGCCACCCTCTCTAAGAAGCCCTCCTTAGTCCTCTATCCTGGAGGAACCAAACTTGAGTTCTGCAGCCTCCTGAACTCACTATAGAGGCATCATCCCCTGGGCTATAAAAATCATTGACCCTGCTGGATTGGCCATTCCTGAAAATAAAGGTTAGCAACTATGTCTATAGCAGAAAGTCTGACAGCATAAAAAGACTGCAGGGTTGAGAATGGAGCATTCAAGCATGTAATCCAAGTTGCTAAAAATCCCCTTCAAGTGTAGTTTTGCTGCATACCTTCACGTGCATGTCCTCTTTTAAGTAGAGGACTGTCCTTACACTCCCATTCCATACCTGGGGAAACAAAGGCTCTTCTGTAGCAAACACACAAGTGTGTATGTTATACACACTTTATTCATTTATTACTCACAAACATGATTGTCAAAGTTTGGCCCACAGACCAGCAGCATTAACATTGTGTGAGAACCCACCAGAAGTGGAAATTCTGGGACCCACCCCCAGGTCTCCAGAATTAGAAACTGCAGGACAGGGCCCAGCAATCTGGGTTTTAGTAAGCCCTCCAGGGGGCTCCAGTGTACACCAAAGTTCAAGAGCCACTCTCTTACAATAACCCTACAAAGTCCCTATAATTATCACTATTTTACAAATAGAGTAAATGCAGCTTGGTGCCCATAGCACAGTGGTTATGGCTCTAGCCACACACAGCAAGGCTGGCAGGTTCCAACCCAGCCTGGGCCAGCTAAGCAACACTGACAACTGCAACCAAAAAAAAAATAGTCAGGTGTTGTGGCGGGCACCTGTAGTCCCAACTACTCAGGAGGCTGAAGCAAGAGAATCTCTTATGCCCAAGAGTTTGAGGTTGCTGTGAGCTGTGATGCCACAAGAGTTTGAGGTTGCTGTGAGCTGTGATGCCACAGCACTCTACCGAGGGCAACATAGTGAGACCCTGTCTCAGAAGGAAAAAAACAAAAAACAAATACAGTAAATGCATCACACCAAGGCAATTAGCTTAGGACCACAGATCTGTGGGAAATGAGGCTCTCTCTTGGAGAACACCGCCAAGTTGACACCAGAACCAAAAGTAGAGTCAATATAGTAATTTTGGGGCCATTCAATAATTCAAGGCATTGCCAGGTACAGTCCTGGGCAGTGGTGCCCGGGGACCTCATTCTCACCGAAGTCAGTATGGGGGAAGGCGTGGGGCTGGGAGTTGCCTAGAGGACAGGGATCTGCACGTGGGGGAAGAAGAGAGGAAACCTGCTGGGCGGCTCCTTTAAAAGGCGGAGCCTGGAGGGCGGAAGTGTGGTGCGACGCAGCCAGGCGCGTCTGGGTGGGCGAAAACACCGCCCCCGGAAGTGTCTTAAGTGAGGGGACTCCGCGCTGCCAGAGGATTCACTGCGATGGGCCGCAACAAGAAGAAGCGAGTTGGTGACGACCGGCGGCCCCGGCTAGTTCTCAGCTTCGACGAAGAGAAGCGGAGGTGAGTAGCAAGGCCGAACCGGATTCCCGCTCGGACTGCTCTGCGAGGGTAAGGCCTGGTTGGGGCCGAACCAGCTCACGCGGAGGACCTTTCTGGCCCCGCCCGTGGGCGTGGCTAGATAACTCCCCATTCTCGCCTCCTCCCCAGTTGCTCTTCTGCCTCACAGACTCTGCCAGCTTCTGTGCGGCCAGAGACTCGAAGTTGAGTCTCAAAGCAGTGCCTCCGACCACCCTAGGCCAGTCCGGTCAATCGGCTCGGCACACAGTAGGCTCTTAGCTGACGTTCGTTGAATGAATGATGAGCGAATGAAATGAAAGTGGCTTAAGTTTATTCATCCGCTCACCAGACTCCTTGCAGTGCTGAGTCTAAGGGTCCTGGCCGGACAAATAAAGGGCACATGATAGTGGATCCAAATAGTCCGGTGCTAGGCTCTGGAACAAAGTGGGTACAGAGTAGCCGCCACTAGTGAGATGAGAAGGGGCTGGACACCAGACAGTGGTTCTCAACCTGTGGGTCGCGACCCCTTTGTAACAATAAAATACATCCTGCATCTCAGATATTTACATTGTGATTCATAACAGTAGCAAAATTACAAGTAGGAAGTAGCAACGAAAATAATTTTATGGTTGGGGGTCAGAACAACATGAGGACCTGTATCAAAGGGTCGCAGCATTAGGAGGCATTAGGAAGGTTGAGAACCACTGAGTTAGGAGAAGGGAGGGCAATTCTGGGAATCATCAGGAAACTCCCAGTGTGCATCAGTAGGTCCTGCAGGTGCCCTGCGTACTGATGTTGGTGCAGTGGAGGGTTTTTGGAGGTCTGAGTGAGGGCGCCTTTGAAAGCCCTGATAAAGTGGCTTAATTCACTGAGCAATGAAATTGCTGAAGTGGAAAGTATCCTCCCCTGTTGTATGTCCCCACAACCCAGCCCTGTTGCCTTAAGCTGAGATCCTTGGAGAGTATTGAGTGGAACGAGGCAGCATCTCGACATTCTCTGTGACCATGGGCAACTAATCTAGACTCTGTGCCTCAGTGTTCCCATCTCTAAAATGGTGAGTGATACTACACAGGTTGTTGTGAGGATTCTGTGTAAATTTTTGGAATGGTGCCCGGCACATAGTGAGTATAGCATCAGCTCTTTTCTTTCTAGAACATGCCCTTCTCTTGACACTCTCTTATCTTTTGCCGATTTCCTTCATGTAGGGAATATCTGACAGGCTTCCACAAGAGGAAGGTGGAGCGGAAGAAGGCAGCCATTGAAGAGATTAAACAGCGACTGAAAGAGGAACAGAAGAAGCTCCGAGAGGAGGTACAGAGGAGAAGGACAGGAAGGAGGTCTTTGACTCCTAGGGGACTTGTTGCCTTGGATGGCTATGATACAAGTGACTGAAGGGATGGGATGTAGAGACTGTGGGCAGGAGTGGGGAGTAGCTTATATACAGGCAGAGACCTTGTGTGCTGGGTCTAGGGAAGGTGGAGGATGGGGTCTCCTCCTTATCTTACAGCATGAGCTGTGGTCTCATTCACCCTGGAGGTGAGCAGTACCCCTGCCTGATGTTGGGCTGAGAGGCCATATTAACTGTTTCCTTCCCATTTGGTTTCAGCGCCACCAGGAGTACTTGAAGATGCTGGCAGAGAGAGAAGAGGCACTGGGTAAGTTCCATCCTTGGCCTGACCTGAAGAATCAGCAACAGGCTTGGTTTGTTTATCCCTAGGGAGGTAAAAGGGGAGGAATATAAGGGCTGCACAGAAATTGACCTTAGCTCTAGAGGTCTTGTTGGTAACCTAGTCCTCAGGCATTTCTGCATAACAAGTGAATGGAGACCAGGAGAAGGAGACTCAAACCTCATCGTAAACCTAGCCAGAGCAGAGAGCCCAGTTTCAGAGGGCTGGAGGGACTGAAGGTGGAGGGGAGGGGCAGCAGCAGTCCCTGGTGTCACACAGAGTTTGTACAAAGTGAGGACCAACCTGGAGCATGAAAGGAAGAATAGATTGTTCACATGTTTGTCTGCAGGCCAAGCCCTGGAGCCAGTGACCCTGAGGTTGCTCTCCCTTGGAGTCGAGGGCATCTTGTACTCCAGGCCTGGAGGCAGGCTTGTTCCTGGGGCTGAGGCCTGATCTGTGTCTACCTGTACAGAGGAGGCAGATGAGCTGGATCGACTGGTGACGGCAAAGACAGAGTCAGTCCAATATGACCACCCCAACCACACAGTGACTGTGACCACCATCAGTGACCTAGACCTCTCAGGGGCCCGGCTGCTGGGGCTGCCCCCGCCTGAGGTGGGTCCTGGTCCCAGCCCTGGGGAAGAAAAGCATGGGGCAGACTGGTTTGCCAGGGGTTGCTAAGTGCCAGCTCATGTCATGAGATCTCTTCTGGACCCTTCAGTCCCTGGTTCCTGGGGGCTGCAGAGGCCCACTGAGTGGCTGAAGGAGCATAGGCAGTTACCTTGGCTGCTTCCCTTTCTTCATTAGTGAACTGGGGATTGCTCTGAGGATAAAAGTAGTTAATCCACATGAGTCACTTGGCATGGTGCCCAGCCCTTTATAAGCACTCAGTAAAAGGTACCTGTTTACTATGATCATTCTCCTGGTGTGATAAGCAGCAATAACATGGCCCATCTGTGTGTACTAGCAGTGAGTTTTCAACCTGTGCGTAGTAATATGTCATCAGCAGGTTGCAACCAGCATTAAAAAGAAGGAATATAAGCCAGGTACAGTGGTTCATGCCTGTAATCCTAGCACTTTAAGAGGCCAAGGTGGGAGGACCATGTGAACTGAAGAGTTTGAGGTTGCAGAGAGCTATAATGACTAATGATACCACTGAAGTCTAGCCCAGACAAAAGAGAGAGACCCTGTCTCAAAAAAACAAAAACAGAGTGTGATTGAAAATATCAAAAAGCGGCTCGGTGCCTATAGCTCAACCGGCTAAGGCGCCAGCCACATACACCTAAGGTGGCAGGTTCGAATCCCTAGCCCGGACCCGCCAAACAACA